CAACCCATCTCAGTGGGGGTCTTCCTTTTTTTGCTGACCCTCCACTTGAGTATAATGTCCTTCTCCAGGGATTGGTCCCTAATTTTTCAATCTCATCATCACTGGCTTTGGTAGTTCGTACATCATGGTCAACTCTACTTTGAGGAGGCAGATCTTCTGGCACTTATATCTGACGATGTTCTGTTGCTATGCAACAGGTTTTCAGTGGCTGACCATTCAGAAGTGGCCTACCTCTCCTTCTTCCTAGTCTGTCTTAGTCTGGAAGCTCATCTGAAACCTGTCCACCATGAGTGACCGTGCTGGTATTTAAAATGCCAGTGGCATAGCTTCCAGCATCACAGCAACACACAAGCCACCACAGTACAACAAACTGATAGCCGAGGTGTAGGTACTATTGCCACAAGAGCTACTACCAAATAAAGTAGGTACTAGTGCTAGCCCCTCCTTTTTAAAAACCAGGAAATGTTTTTGTGACAGGGATATTAAGTGAATTACCCAGCTCAAAAGAAGAATAAAAATTTCAAACCTAATTCAATCTGACTCTGTTGATGTTGTTATTAAGTGCCACCGAATCAATTCCGACTCACAGCCACACTGTATAGGATTTGAACAGCCACCTTGCAGTTCAAACGGACCTGACCTTGTGGCCCAGTGCTTATTCTACAGCGCCACAGCAGGACTCTATTTCTCCTAAAACGACTGTTAAGTGCCGTCAAGTCGGTTCCGACTCATAGCAACCCTATATAGGGTTTCCAAGGAGCAGCTGGTGGGTTTGAACTGCCAATCACTATAAGAACTTATTATCAGTGGTACTTGGTGTGTGTGAAAAAGTCTGAAAGTAGAGCCTTGAATCTCAGAAAGCTGCCTTTTTAAATAATTCTTCTAACCTTGATGCTGACATGGCCATGTCTCATTAAGGAGACATCCTTTTTCTCTGAGGTCTGGCAGGTGCAAGATACCACAATCTATTTCCAGAGGGTCTTTCCAGCATGGTCAAACTGATGCAAGAAGTGACAGCTTATAGTCAAGGGCTCTGGATGCACAGCATTATCAACAAGGATTTGTAATGGCCCCCCAGAAACAGATATAATTGAGGAAGTAATTTTTATAGCAGGTTACCAGTAAAACTTGTCCTGCTTCTGTCAAGTGACCACCCAGTAATAAACCGAAAGGCATGCACCTTTAACCATTCATGTAACCCATATGTGTTATCTACCTACACCTGCCAAATCCTTGCTCCTAGACTTCCCACCTTTGTCTCCCCTCATTGTCTTTCCGTCAATGGCCATTTTGTGACTTTCCATTCCCTCTCTGGCTAGACAACAAATGTCTTTTCCTCCTCATTGTCCACCACAGCTGTCATTTTCACTCTATGAATTTGGATGTCTTCTCAGCTCAGACCAGACCATCTCTCTTCCTCAACAAATCTCTGTTACTTTTACCTTAAGAAGATTTCATGATGTTGCTCTACAACATTACCTTTAAACTTGAGATTCCCAGAAATGCACTGAGGAATTCACCTCATTTCTCGGTTAGAATGTCAGCATGGACTAGAGGGCAATGCGTTTGTTTGTTACCTGATTGCTCCTTGAAGCATAATTGACAGCCTAGGAACCTGCTAGAAATACGTGTCAATTCCTCATGGTTTCAATTGGATCTATTTGGTTTCAATTGGATCTATTTTGAACCCACCAGCCGCTCCAGGGGAGATGCATGTGGCGGTCCACTTCCACAAACATGACAGCCTTGGAGACCATAAGGGATAGCGCTACTCTGTCCTACAGAAGTCACAAATCAAGTGGATGATTTACAGGTTTGGTTTTTGCTTTTATTGAGTTTACACCCAGTGGCACTTTCCCTAAATTATTGTAGGATAAGCACCTGACTAAGGCGCTCTGGCAGTGTAGGTTATGAATCGGGCTGCTGATCTCAGGGACAGCAGTTCGAAACTACCAGCTGTTCTGTGGAAGATGAGGCTTTCTGCTCCCGTAAAGATTTACAGCCTCAAAAACCCTGTGCAGGGTCGCTATGAGTCGGAACCGACTCCACGGCATATAACAACAACAATAACAAGAAGGAGCTCTGCTCTGGTAGTGTAGTGGTTACAAGTCAGGCTGCTAACCTCAAGGTCAGCTAGTTCTAAACTACCAGCAGTTGCATGGGAGAAAGATGAGGCTTTCTACTCCCGAAAAGATTTACAGCCTCAGAAACCCTATGCAGGGTCACGAAACCCTATACAGGCCCACTATGAATGGGAACTGACTCCAAGGCACACCACCATCACCACCAAGCACTTGACTGCTAACCACAAGGTGGGTAACTTTAAACTCACCGGCTGCTCCTCAGAAACCCAGAAACCCTATAAGTCGGTATAAGTTGGAACTGACTCAAGGGCACTTAACAACTACAACAAACTACCAAACCTCACCGCCAATGATATGAAAAAGAGAATGCAACAAGTCTCGCGCTGGAAGTACTGCAAGCTTCTGCCTTTGGTGGTGGTGAAGTGCCAATAAGTCAGTTCCGACTCACAGACACTCTGTATAGGGTTTCCGGGGAGTGGCTGGTGGGTTCGAACCACTGACTGCAATTAGCAGTCCAGTGATTATCCCACAGCACCACACCAGGACTCCTGACTTTAGAGGGCCTCTTTTAAGATGCAAATACGAGGGGGCTTCAAAATATTTATGGAAACGTTACATTATCTTTTAATTTCATTTTTCCACTAACTTTTTGAAGCCCCTTTGTACTTCTGAGATGCCTCAATTCTGTATCAGTTAACATCTAGGCATTCACATGAGAGCATTAATTAATTAATACCTCAGCAGCAGTATGGGAGCAGAATAGCAAATTTCCATGACGAGGAAGCACCTAATCCATCCTCATTTTTTCACTCTCATATACATTCTTTTCCATGTCCCAGCAACCCAGGGGCATGAGTAGGGTGACACTTTATGCAAGAGGATATGAAGTCTCAGAGACATTAAGTAAACTGCCCCAGTGAGTTCTCCTGACTTTCCCTGTCACTATAAGCATCTTATCATTCTGCCACCTCAACATCCTGAACCTAATGCGGAGAACAGCCACAAAGGTAAAACTCCGACGGCAAACAGCCCCCCACCCCATCATTCTTTCACGCACAAAATGAAAGAAAATAGAAAACAGCTTTGAGCTGTCAATGACAGGAGGCTACAAACCAAAATGCATCACGGGGAAATTTTGTTGAATAAGAACCCAGAAGTATCCACTGATGTTAACAAAAAAATTCACTTAAATGGGGTGACTGCATTTGGCAAGGAATGTTAACCATTCCCCTCATTTTTCCTCACGCATTAGGGTAACTTCTGACCACCACTTGCAACCAACATCTTATGTTTTTCACCTTCCATATGGCTATTTGGAGTTGTGGTGTGGCACTGCAGGATAAAAACTGGACTACTAACTGCAAGGTCAGTAGTTCAAACCCACCAGCCACTCCTTGACAACCCTATACAGAGTTGCTGAGTCGGAACTGACTCGACAGCATTTGACAATGTATGACCCTGATTACATAGTGGGTTACACGTTGGACAATTAACTGCATGGTCGACAGTTCAAAACCACCACCAGTCTTTCCTTGGGAGAAAGATGAGGCTTTCTGCTCCCATAAAGATTTACAGTCTCAGAAACCCTGTACAGGGTCACTGTGAGTGGGAACTGACTCCACGGCACATAACAATATAGGTATTTACTTTGGCATCACATATCTATTTGTGCATGTGATTAGTAAGATGGTCAAAGTGAAAATTCTCTGAGAATTTATGAGGGGAAGTCAAACAATACTGCTACTAAGGTTCCAGTTCATATATGCAAGGGTTTCTTCCTAAAAAAAAAAAAAAATGTTTAACTATGTCTCTGTGGTCAGTGGAGAGTTGAAGAAGGGATCCTTGGGGAAGGATTAGAGAGATGGAAACACAGCCATCTGAAGTACATAGACCTAGATAAAGATATGACAGTTTCACAATTTGATTTTTTTTATTTAATAAAAGTTTCTATAATTTTACAGCAATGCTTCATGACTTATTTTGTAACATAGCCAGTTTACTGAGTACCTAATACATAGATGGAGGACTCCTGATGTGGCACTGTAGGATCAGCACTGGACTACGAGTCACAAGGTCAGCAGTTCAAACCCACCAGCGGCTCCTCGGATATCCTTGTACAGGGTTGCTATGAGTTGGAACCAAATCGATGGCACCAACAACAATCAATAGATGGAGTCCTGGTGTGGCGCTGTAAGGTAAGCACTAGACTGCTAACCACAAGGTCTGCAGTTCAAACCCACCAACCACACTTTGGAAACCCTATACAGCAGGGGTGGGGAAACTTTTTTTCTTCCAAGGATCAATTTGGATATTTGTAACATCACTCACAGGCCACACAAAATTGTCAACTTAAAAATTAGCCTGCTACATTTGGGCAAACATCTTATTAATTTGCTTAGGGTTGATGTGCAAGGTTGGTTTGAACTACAAGGTTGGTGGTTCAAGCTCACCAGCTGCTCCTCAGAAAGCCTATACAGGAACTGATTCGATGGCACTTAAACAACATTGTGATGCTGAAACTGAGTTGCCTTTGCAGGGCCAGACCAGATGATTTCTCTGGCCTTATATGGCCTGCAGGCGGGGGACAATCCCCACCCCTGCTATAAACAGTGTCACTATGAGTTGGAACCAAGTTCAGGGCATTTAATAAGAATAACAAAAAAGATGTGACATGTTAGAAAAATCTCAGTTATACTTAATTACTCAAAATTAACAAATACTTTTAAATGTTTAGTCTCCTCAACGGTTGTCATCAACGGTGGATTCTATTATCTCCCCCTAATTAAAATCTGAGCACACTAAAAATTAAAATTTCTACTTTGAAATAAGATTAGAATTTACTGGGGTCTTGGCTCCAGTTCATAGTATTTATTCACTTTGTATTATGTTTTATGTATTATGTTTCTGAACACTTACCTTATCCTGTTCATTACCAAAATGACTGAAATACCACAGGCTACAATTCGGGCTGGCTCCCTCAGGAGGATTCCACGTCCATTTTATTGTGCAAAGGTTTTCAACAGAAACACTCAAATTGGTCACAGGTGGCTGAGCTCCTGCACAATTCAAACATAAGAAATACATTTTAATCCACATCCAGTAGTGTTTTAATGACTCATTTAATTAATTTTCCCAAACCCTCAATCCAAGAGTAACAATATCTGACATTAGATATTGCATTTAGAATGCCAGACACCATTCTAAATACACGTATTATTCTACTGAATTGTCACAACAACCCTATGAGATAGGGACTGTTATTAGCCCTGTCTTACAGAAGAGACAACTGAGGCATAAGAAGGCTACGTCATTTGTCCCAAATCCCATGGTTAGTAAATGGTAGAGCTGTGATTCAAACCCAGAAGTTGTGGTTACACAATTACACTCTTAACTACTTGCTGTCCTGCTGTGGCCCTGTAAGATAAACACTGGAATGCTAACTGAAAGATCGGCAGTTCAAACCCAACAGCTGCTCCTCAGAAACCCTATACAGGGTAGCTCTGAATCGGAACGGGCTCAATGGCACTTAACAACAACAACAACATCATCCTGTGAACACAAACAAAAAGTTATTAAAGGAGATACTGTATGATAACAGAGTCATGGAGTGGCGCTGTGGGTTAATGTGCTGAACTGCAAGGCTTGAACCACAAAGTCGGTGGTTCAAGCTCACCTGCTGCTCCTTGGTCGCTATGTTGGAAGCAACTCGACGACACTTAACAACAGCAACAACAACTTATACGAAATATCTAGAGTAGATAAGTAATGCTGTTATCAAGGGCCATCAGGTCAATTCCAAGTCAGTGACCCTGTGGTACAGTAAAACTGCACCATAGGGTTTTCCTGGTGTCCTGGTGTCGGCAGTTCAAGCTCACCAGCTGCTCCTCGTAAACCCTATACAGGGTTGCTATGGGTTGCACCCGACTCGATGGCACTTAACTTTACAGAAGCAGATCCCCAGGTCTTTCTCTCATGGAGCAACTGGGTGAGTTCCAACTGCCAACCTTCCAGTTTGCACCACTAGGGCTCCATAGCCAAGTGCATAGAGAATACCAGTATAGCTTATTCAATAAAGACACTTCAGCATCTGCAGTTCTATGCATTGAAGAAGCTCATCTGTAATCATGCTTGTTAACATGACCTGGTCATTTTTTTCATAGTTTTTCCAAAGAAGTACTGAGAAAGGATTTAACATAATAACCCTTGTTGTTCCCTTGAGGTCTGAGACTAAACAGCTGGAATTATAGCTTGAACTAATATGAAGAGGGAAATGAAAGAGGGGAAACTGCTTTAAAAACTGTGGCTCCGTTGGACAAGTCCTTCCACCAAACATGTACTTACTCCATTATTTTAGACTCAGTTCTAAACCAGAGAATGGTAATTTCCTGGGTGTGCTAAATGCAGGAAAATGCATGAGGGACTACGAAGGTGTTTAGAAGCATAATTTCTTTTCCTGAGAACTTCTCCTGAGATCAAGACTGTCAAAATCATTCTCCAGAAACTGCGTGAGGGGTATAACTTTTTTTTTATAAATCTGAAATGATTACAAAATGAGGCTTACTACAATGATTTTTACAATCAGTCCCCAAAGACTCTTTAAAGTGGCAAACTAAATCAGTATTACTTAAGAACTATAGTCATCACATTAATTTTTCAAGTAAGAGTTATATTTTATGGCCTAGTGAAACTTTGGGCATTCCTCGGAAACCCAATACAGGATCGCTATGAGTTGGAACCACCTCGATGGCTCTCCAACAAGGGCCTCTTACATAATCTGTCATACCTATCCTGGTGGTTGTTACTTGTAACATTACGATTTAAGCAAGAGTTTTATGTGTTCCAAAACATCAGCCCCATGGGCACTAAGCAGTTGTGGTTACCCTACTAGTCAAGTTTGCACATAAGCAGCTGTGTGGTCTGCAAACATTTTTAACCGTCAGTATTCATTCCATTTCTCCTAACTACTGTTGTTGTGTTTATTATTGTCGGGTGCCATTGAATAGATTCCAACTCATAGTGACCGACCTCATGTGGCAGAATAGGACTGCCAGGTTATAAATTGTGCCCCCCCCCCGCCCCGGCAAAAAAAAAAAATTTGTTTAAAATCCTGTTTGGGAATGGGTTGTCTTTGTTATGTTCATAGGGTAGGATTAATGTAGGGAGTATGTTGAGTCTTCTCTTTTGAGATAAAGGAAAGATAAAACCAAATCTGGCAAGCAGAGATGGAGAAGAAAGATGCCAAGTCAGATGAAGATCATCCAGGAGCAGAAGCCCAAAGAGACAAGAACCTTCGTCCAGAGCCAACACCCTTTATTTGGACTTCTAGCCTCCTAAACTGAGAGAAAATAAACTTCTGTATGTTAAAGCCATCCACTTATGTATGGTATTTCTCTTACAGTAGCACTAGATAACTAAGAATTTGGGACCAGAAAAGTAGGGTGTTGCTGTAAAAGATACCTACAATGTAGAAGTTGTTTTCGAATTGGGTAATGAGTGTAGACTGGAAGAGTTTTAAGGAGTTGTAAGGAGCTCTGGTAGCGTAGTGGTTACGAATCAGGACCGCAAGGTCAGCAGTTCGATACTATCAGCTGTTCCACTGGAGAAAGATAAGGCTTTCTGCTCCCGTAAAGACTGACAGCCTCGGAAACCCTGCACAGGGTCGCTATGAATCGGTTCCGACTCCACGGCACATACCCACCACCAACAGTAAACACCTAGATTGCCTTGGAGAGACTGTAGAATTACGGAATCAAAGACAATCCTGGTGAGGGTTCAGAAAGTGAAGACAGCCATAGAGAAAGTCTCCATTATTTTAGAGAATAGATAAGGCACTCAACAGAATGTTGATAGAAATGTGGATGTTAAATATACCTCTGGTAAGATTTTAAAAGAAAATAAGTAATGTGATAAGACAATAGTGGAAGGATGATGCTTTTTATGCAATGGCAAAGAACTTATCTGAATTTTGTTCAAATGTCTGGTGGAAGGTATTACTTGTAAGTGATGAATATAGTATCTAACTAAAGAAATTTCTCAGAAAGATCTTAAAAGGACTGTGTAGTTTCTCCTTGCTGCTTTATAGTAAAATGTGAGAGGAAAGAGACAGACTTAAAAATGAAAATAAAACTTAAAAGATTTAGACAAATTAAGGATATATGTCCTAGAATTTTCACCAACAATGTGACTACATAATCTTTTGCTAAAAAGATTAAGCCAAAGACAGATGGATCTAACCAACTACCACAGCAGAAACCCCATCAGCTTAGACTGAAGGGAACAAAGAAAAAAAATGAAAGGAAAGAACACTGCTTTTTGGAATTCTACAGGCAGTAAACAGACCAAATGAGCTACATCTGTTGTTCTCCAAGAAAAGAAAAAGACCATCCTTGGGGCAGCTCGGAGATCAGCAGAACTGTGGGAAGGAGAATGGGAAGTTTGGCTTTCTTGGTTTCAAAGGCTGGGGCCACATTTTTCTGGATCAAAATAAGTGAGGCCACAGCCTCCTAGGTTTCCAAGACTGAGATGGTCACTAACTGGGTTTCAGAGTATGGGACTGCAGTTTAGGTGTGCCAGAGGGTGGCCCCACCACCCAAAGCTGAGGAGGCATGGCTTCCATTGCCCAAGAGCAGAAGAATGGAAACTCTTGGGGGTCATGGGGGTCACTGCTCAGAGGGACTAGGAGAATGGTACCACCCATAGCCAAGGGAGCAAGCTGCCATCCTAGAGGCTCTAGAAGATGAAACTGAAACCCAAGGCTGAGAGATCTTCACACAGAATACAGAGAGCACAGCCAACATCCTTGGAAACCCTCTATAGGGTTGCTATGAGTTGGAATTGACTCCACGGCACACCACCACCACCACCACCACAGTCATTTTAGGAGGAGTAAAGTCCTGGTGTGACACTGTGGGATAAAACAATGGGCTATATAGTCAGTTTGAACCACAAGGTCGGTGGTTCAAACTCACCAGCCACTCCTTGGAAACCCTACATTGTTGTTGTTGTTATGTGCCGTGGAGTCGGTTCCAACTCATAGCGACCCTGTATAGATAGGGTTTCTGAGGCTGTAAATCTTTATGGGAGCAGAAAGCCTCATTGTTCTCCCATGGAATGGCTGGTAGTTTTAACTGCTGACCTTGAGGTTAGCAGCCTGAATCGTAACCACTATGCTACAAGAGCTCTTTGTTCTGACTCATACTGACCCTGTATAAGGTTTCTGAGAAGTGGCTGGTGGGTTTGAACCCCCGATGTAATGGTGGTGGTTATGTGCCGTGGAGTCGGTTCTGACTCGTAGTGAACCTGTACAGGGTTTGCAAGGCTGTAAATCTTTACAGGAGCAGAAAGCCTCATTTTTCTCCCACGGGAGAGATGGTAGTTTCGAACTGCTGACCCTGAGGCTAGCAGCCTGATTTGTAACCACTAAACTACCAGAGCCCTATACAGGGTCACTATGAGTCAGAACCAACTTGATGGCACTTAACAACAACAACATAGTCTCAAATTAACTCATAAACCTAAATGTAAAACTTAAAACTAAAACATTTTTAGAAGACAACAACAACTTTTTGACCTAGGATTAAGCCAATATGTCTGAGTTATAACAAATCATAATCTTTCTTTTAAGAAGACATTCATAAATTGAACTGCATCACAATTTGAAGAAAATTGTGCTCCTCAAAAGACATGGCTGGTAAAATACGATCGGATGAGTGTAAAACTCCATGTTCTCCCATGTAAACTACCGCTCCATTCACAATAAAAGCTTTGAAAAGAAAAGAGAAAAAGTCTAGACTCGATAGCCAGTCTGAGCTACAGTCTCAGCTCTGCTACTTTCTGAATGACAAGTTTATCAACCTCTCTCTTCCTCAGTTTCTTCATCTGTAATATGAGAACGCATTCCTTCTGCATCATAAGAGCCCTTAGGAACTGAATTCCAACCATTTTATAGGGATTGATCACTGACTTCAAAAGGGGGAGTGGGAAGAAAGGAGGGATCCAAGTAAGTACCCCCACTAAACGTCAAACCCCTTGTGAATCTTTATTTTCATCTGGCAGGGCATCCTATTTATTTAGGAATTTCAGCAGTTGATATATCCTTTCTAATAATAAGGCACGTTGCTTAACTTAAGAGCTTTTGATCTCTACTGTCCAACCACAGGAGCTGGCAGACGTGTGCACATTCTGGGAAAAGTTAAGGAACTCACAAGAGTAATATATGAGTCATCTATCCCCTTCCCTTACGTCCCCTCAATCATCATATTCTTGCAACATCTTCCTTAATCACTCCAATCATACTAATGTGTGGCATGCAGACACCAGTGCATCATGGTCCTGGATAAGAAGTGTTCACAGCATAGCTGTCTAGTGGAGACCGTCCTCCCTAGATCCTAAAGGAGTTTCACACTCTAGTGACCTCGTTCTGCAGCCAAGTCTCCTGGCTTGCTTCTCCAGTGCCATTGCCTTCATATTGTACCCCCACTCAAGGCCTTTACAGGCAAATGAAACTCTTGCTTGGGTTGATTTTGCAAACACACCCTCCTGCCAAGCTGAGCTCCTTACTGACACAAAGAGGAACTCTTACCCCCAATTATGGGTCTCTGCTGCTACCATTCTCCTCACTGGGAATAGCTTCTTTCCACCTACTTAAAGCTAACCCAAGGAGCTCTGGTAGTGCAGTGATTATGAATCGGGCTGCTAATCTCACGGTCAGCAGTTTGAAACTACCAGCTGCTCCACGGAAGAAAGATGAGGCTTTCTACTACTCCCATAAAGATTTACAGCCTCGGAAACCCTGTACAGGATCGCTATGAGTCGGAACTGACTCCACAGCACAAAGCAACAGCGACAACAAAAGCTAACCCATCCTGAAGGTTTACTTCAAGTTCTGCCTCTTCCTTAAAACCCAGTGCTCAAGCTTCCTCACTTCTTAACATCTCTACTATGAGGGTAAGTCAAAAAGTATTACTACAAAAGCATAGAAAAAACGTTTCTTAAACAAAATGATCAAAATGTGAAACTATTGTTTCCTGACATATCTTCTGCACTCATTCAACTCACACCATGTCAAAATGGCCATTTTAACATCCATGAGGGACTCAAATTGTGTTCCTTTAAAGTATTCTTTGAGATTTGGAGACAAAAAGAGGGGAGTCCAAAGGAGCAAGATCAGGACTGTAGGTTGGTAGGGTAAGGTTTCCCAATGAAATTCTCCTTGACGAATGAGCAGGTGCATTGATGTGATAGGAAAAAATCCTGGCCTTTTTCTCACCAATGCAGTTATCAATTTTCTTTAAACTTCTTCCTAAGAAGCCCCAAGGAGCTCTGGTAGTGTAGTGGTTACAAATCAGGCTGTGAATCGCAAGGTCAGCAGTTCGAAACTACCAGCTGTTCCGTGGGAGAAAGATGAGGCTTTCTGCTCCCATATTTACAGCCTCGGAAACCCTGTACAGGGTCGCTAGGAGTCTGAACCGACTCCATGGCACATAACAACAACAACAACAAGCCCCAGTCATCATCGTATGTCCTTTGACAAAATCTATCCAGATTACTCTATTTTAAAATCTCTCAAAACAGCTGCCGTAACCTTGTGGGTTAACCTCTGTGCCTTGAATTTAACTGGCAGGGCACTGTTTTGACTGAACGTTTTTTAGGCTTTTTAGGCTCTGTGCGTAAATGCGCCAGACCGCAAAGCCGTTTGACTGCAAGGTTGCCAGTTCAAGCTGCTCCTTGGAAACCCTATACAGGGTCACTATGGGTCGGAACTGACTCAACGTCACTCTACAACAACAACAACGAGACCAAAAGGAGCTCTGGCAGCGTTGTTGTTGCTGTTGTTAAGTGCCATCGAGTCGGGTCCGACCCATAGCGACCCTGTACAGGGTTTCCGAGGGTGTAAATCTTTACGGAAGTAGAAAGCCTCATCTTTCTCCCGCGGAGCGGCTGGTAGTTTCGAACCGCTGACCTTAAGGTTCGCAGCCCGATTCGTAACTTGGTTACAAATTGGGCTGCTAACCTCAAGGTCAGCAATTCAAAACTACCAGCCGCTCCGCGGGAGAAAGAGGAGGCTTTCTACTCCTGTAAAGATTTACAGCCTTGGAAACCCTGTACAGGGTTGCTGCGTTGGAACCGACTCCACAGCACATAACCACCACCAACCACCACCAATGAGACCAAGATTGGCAGTTCAAACCCACCAACTGCTCCTCAGAAACCCTATACAGGGTCGTTATGAGTTGGAACCATCTCGACAGCATTTAACAGCAAAAACGAGACTCTATACAGGGTTGATGTGAGTCAGAACTGACTTGATGGCACTTACCAACAACAATGAGATAAAGACAAGTGTATTACTGAGAGAACTTGGCTTCAGTCATCCAAGGATTGCAGAGCATGTTTAAACACATTCTGTTTGGAATTAACTCGTGTATGTATGAACTGGAAGCCTAGTAACCATACTTTCTGACTTACCCTTGTTTTCAGTATTTGGACTATACAGTCCAGCGATTATAAAGCAAGTCTCTAATATATTAGCACTTCCTTCTTAACAAATGTTGCATTCTTATACATACTTTCATGGCTCCAACCAGTCCTGTTCTGCTACCTTGACAATGAGTACTCACAGCATTTCCAGAGAGAGGCAAGGACTACAGTGATTAAGGGCATGCGCTCTGGAATCAGGCTGCCAGGTTGGAAGCCTGGTTGGTCCACTATGTGACTCCAGGCAAGGGTCTTAGCTTCATTGGACCTCAACTTTCTCATATACAAAATGGGAGAAATAACAGCACCGCCAACACAGGTTGACTGGAAAGATTAAATGAACTGTAAGTACTTAGACTACTACCTGGCATAGAGTAAACATGATATAAATGCTGTTACTAACACATACCACAATTTGGACTACTGAACTGAATAGCCTAAATAAACTAAGCTGGCAGCGTAATCATTTTTATAAATACAGAGGATTCCAGTTGGAAAAGTCCTTAGTGCTCATGGACTTAAACCTCATTTCTTAGAGGAGAAAACTGGAGCAGGGAGGGGAAATGACTAGCCCAGAGTCTGAAAACATCTCCCACCAACTGGTAAATGTCAGAATCACTAAAACTCAAGTCTCCTCATACCCGCATTACAAGTCTATCATTATTTCAAAGGGGGAAGAGCAGTTTCTGTAGTCTATGTAACCAAGTTACCACCAAACCATTGTGACAAAATGGACCAAGTTGGCAGTACCAGTATTGTCCAGAAGGCCTAGTGTTGTTTCAGGTGTGTGGGGGAAGAAGTCTTCGTAGCAGGGAGCGTGCTAGAATGGCACAGTGAAAATCAAGAGTCTTGGAAACCCTACGAGGCAGTTCTAGATTGTCATATGGGGTTGCCATGGGTCAGTATCGACCTGATGGCACAGAACAACAAATCTCTGGGTTATGCAAACAGTGAAGTATTCGACTACTTGCCAAAAAGATTGGCGGTTCAAATCTACCCAGAGGCACCTTTTAAGACAAACTCAGGGATGTTTGAGCAAGATGACAGCATGAAAAGCCTATGGCGCAGTTCTACTCTGCACACATGAGGTGACCAGGGGTTGTTACTGTCAGCAACCAAAAACAACAGCAGTTTTCCCATACTTTATATTTGACTTTTTGGGCCCTCTATGACCTGCCAATGGCATACATATAAATTCTTAGAGGGCAGAGACTTGATTTATTTTACTTACTGCTGTGTCCTCAGAACACTGCCTGGCACAGAGCAGCCTCTGCATTTTTTTTTATTTTTTTATAAACTGAATCAATAGGCTTCTTAACATTTCAGTTTGGGTTTCAAAGTACAACACTAGTGAAAACGCAATAAGCAAACTGTGGGTGTTTGTGCCAATGAAGTAATAAAAACCAGAAAATGAAGAGCTGTTTGGCAGTTCCAACCCAACAGCTCCGGCGGGAGAAAAGACCTGGTTATCTATTCCCCCCCAGCACACCCCCGTAAAGATTACAGCCTACAAAGCCCTATGAGGCAAATCTTCGGTGTCACATAGGGTCGCTATGAGTGTGAATTGACTAGACAAGAGGGCACACCACCACAGCGTCCCCACAAATGCCCAAATATCACACATGCCAGGAACTGTCCAGGAAAAGATCATTAGCCCCCAACTTTTCACAGCACCTCCGCTGGGTTGATTAATTCAAAGTTACTGTATAGGCATCTACGGGAACTCTCTGTACTATTTCTGCAATTTTCCTGTAGAGCTAAATTTCTACCAAAATTTAAAGTGTATTTAAAAAAAAAAAAAAAAGGTCACACCTCCCGGATGCTGCTCCGCGTTTCCCAGCCGATTCCTCCAACACCAGAGAGGCCCGAGCCGCACAGATCCTTGGTCTAAAGGGACCTAAACGCTTCTGAGGTTCCCTTCAACCTACAGCCCCAAGGGTCACCCTGACTAGCAACTGAGGGCCGCCACGAACCCGGGCAAGGAGTCCCGGCTCACCAGACCTCCTAGGTGACCTTCTGGGTCCTGAGCCCTCCGAAGTGGCGGGCAAGTTTTAGTCCTCCCGGAGCCTCAACTCTTCCAGAAGGCGCAAGGGAAGAGCGATCACAAGTCCGCTGTTGCCTCTGCGCCTGGGGTCCGGGAAACCCCCACCGCTCCAATGCGCAACCCCCACCCCGACCTGGAAGCCGGGCGCGGAGCCCTAAGGGCCAGTCGTGAGGCATCGAGAGTGCCAGCCCCCTCCCCGGCGCCCACCCCGCGGTGGCCTCGGCTCCCAGGCTCCCTCGCCCGCCTCTCCGTCGTAAGCTCCCCCCCCCCCCCCCCCCGCCCCCTGCCAGTCCCGGCCTACGGCCGTTTTGCGCCCCGAGCCCCGGGGGTCGCACTCACCGGAGGGTGCCGCGCCCCCGCCGCTGGCGAACAGCAACATCGCCCACAGCCCGCAGAGCCACACCGGCCGCTCCATGCGCCCCTCGCCTCTGAAGCCAGCGGGCTGGAGCCTTAGCAGGCAGTCCCCGCCTCCTGCACTCCAGCTCCCACTTCCCGGCGCCGCAGCCTGGAGGCAGGGGGCGGAGCAGACGGGAAGCCGCCCCGCCCCCCGCCCCAGGTAACCTGGCCGGCACGCAGGCAGGGCGGGGCACCTCGACACCTGGCCTGGCCGCCTCACCGCCCCCTGCAGTCCGGCCTCCGCCCCAAGGCCACTTCCTCCCCAGTGGCAGCCAAGCCAGGCTCCTGCCTCGGTCTCCACCCTCAGCGCCTGGGCGTCGCCACTGAGTACAGACTGGTGGGGCCTCAGAAGCGACCAGGACTTGGCCCTGATGGGCACCAGGGCAGAGCCATTCACTGGCCAGAGCCTTGGCCCGAGATTCGGATAGGCGGCTTTCAGCCCTTGGTCTTTGAACCCTAACTTCCTAAACTCTGACTCCAGCGTAATAGCAGCCCTGCCTCACAGCGGACTTGGCAGAGTCGGGTTTGATGAAGTGAAAAGGATAAACTTGGCATATTTGAAATTTGGTAATAGAAATGTTGACTGGAGAAAGATAAGCTTTGTTGTTATTGTTAAGTGTCGTCGAGACCCACAGTGACCCTGTATAGGGTTTCCAAGGACCTCAAACCACCGACCTTGGTATTCAAACCGACTTTGTAGTGCAGCGCATTAACCCACGACAACACACCAGGACAGCCTCGGAAACATTATGTTGTTAAGTGCCGAGTCGATTCCGACCCATAGTGACACTGTATAGGGTTTCC